TTCATAAGTACGATTTATTAATTATATATGGATAATTAATTTGTATATAATATATAACATAATATAATTTTATGATTAGGTGTATGTGTATATGAACGTATATGTATGTGTATTTTTTGACTTTTATGCATATACTAAAAATGTATACTTTACAATGAATGGTTGATTAATTATATTTTAAATGGAAAGTTAGCACCAATAACAACGCGGGCAAAATACAGAATTAATATTTATCAGGGTTCCGCTGAAACCAGCGCCACTGCAGTACCTACGGTAGCACATACTGATACGAAACCCTTTTTGGCATCACATCACTCACTTTTGCCGAGATTTACTGAGGTAAAACTTCTTTATGTACACTTGACTTGGGGAGTCTGCCGAATGCGTGACAAAACGTTACGTAAAGTGTGATTGGGCGAGTCGAAAAATTTAAAATTAATAAAATTGTGAATTCATTTAAAAGTTCATGTTTTGTGTTTGTTCGGGTGTATAATAAATTATGGAAGTTAGCCGATAATAAATTTAAATATTTCATATATATATATATATATACAGGGTTACTGGTAATTCGACGTATTCCCGCCAAGGCGTGATAGTTGGGGTCATAACCTATCAAATGAATCATAAAATGCATTATGCAAATGTGAACCAATTTCCAGATATTTAGGTTTAATTATTTTTTTCAAAAATCCCAAAAGTCTGGTGTCAAAAATTTCTAAAAAAAAACTTACAGCTGTATTATTTTAATTTTATTATTTTTACTTAATGTAAACCTGGATACTTATTTATCAATACTACAATGTGCAAAAAGTCTCATCATTTTCGAAGTAACGCTACTGAAAGTACAACTTTTTCCAAACAGAAGATAAGTAATTAAAAATAAAAATGATTTTGTGAAAAATAATTGTATGTGATCAATTGTGCAAATCATGTTAAAAACATCCCTATTTATCTAGCTACCTAATGAAGTATCAACTTTGTAGTTTGCTTATGTAGAAACAGAAAAAAAATTTAAAAAATGAGGTCAGGTAGTCGAGTTCTAAAAAGACAAAGGAATTCGTGTTTTATTTTTAACCAATATTAATTAAGGAAATGAAACAAAGCACTTGATTGAAATTAGCTTTATTTATTTTATAATAATATAATAAAATAATATGGGAGCCCCTATTCCGTATACAGACACGCATTCGTTTTCTTAATTCGCTTTTAATAACGTTTGAGGTTAAGTCTTATGTGTGTGAGTGAGTTTGAGGGTAAGTCTTATGTCGTTTGTCGCGTTGATAATGCGGTCTCTCAGTTGATCAAGGGTCGGCACTGGCACATTGTCGCAGTACACGATGCTCTTTATGTGCCCCCAGACATAATAACCCATCGGTGTTATGTCAGGACTCCTTGCTGGCCATGAAATTGGTCCTCCTCTGCCAATCCACCGATGTCGATAATTTTCGTCCAGCCATCGTCGCACAGTTACACGACAGTGCGCAGGACACCCATCATGTTGATACCACATGTTTTGCCTTGTGGCGAGAGGAACATCGTGTAACAATCCGGATAAGTCCTCCCTTAAAAATGTTTCATAATTTTCGCCGTTTAAATAGTTTGGCAGAAAATAAGGCCCAATTAAATTGTCGTTAATAATCTCCATCCAAACATTTAGTGAAAATCTTCTTTGCGATTTAGAAGGTCTCTTTTTTTCAGGATGTCTTTGCTCTTTTGGAGCCCAAAAATGTGAATTATGGTAATTTGTAATACCGTCTTGATCGAACTTCGACTCATCAGTCCACAATATTTTTCTAAAAAACATTGGATCTTCTGCATCTGCGTTCAACATAAATCTACAAAAATCCAATCTTCTAACTGGATCTCCTTCTTCCATCACATGCACTGGTGTGTAGTGGTACGGATAAAACCCTGCAGTATGCACAGTAGACCAGACCTTCCACTGCGATACACCTAAGCGACGAGCAACTGTGTTCGTGGAAGTGGTTGGATCTTCTTGAAATTTACTCAAAATTTCTTCATCTTCCGCACGCGGTATGCCACTTGGCCTGCCAGCATCACATTGTTGCCTTTGAACATTTCCAGTCCCTCGTACTCTACGATACACTGCACTGTGACATGGGGTGGTCGGAGATTAGGGTAGCGCTGTAGGATTCACGGCGAGCAGCTGCAGCGTCACCGTCACAATATCCATAGAGATAAAAGATATCTGCGTATTCCTCGTTGGAAAATGATTGCCTTGCATGATCTCCGCGTCTTGGTGGTTCCGCCGCCATAAAACTTTGAAACTCAACTTCTTTAGGTGTAACAGGGAGGGATATGCGCGCGTGTGTACGATGCCTGTAATACTGATGATTGATTGAACAGTTTCTTCTTGTTTAACTTGTTTCTAATTTCACACTAAATGTAAACAATAGCGTAAGTTCAAACGCACAATCTTTTACGAGCATTCACGCAGCTGTTGATAAGGTTCCGAGAAGCGATTGTTTGGGATTACCCAAACATTGCTAATCGGAGCTTGTCTACCTGACCCCTTTTTTTTCAAGTTTTTTCTGTACTATTTAAGTTACAAGCTAAATTGATACTTCGTTGGGTAGCTAGATAAGTAGGGATGTTTTTAACATTATTTGCACAATTGGTCACATACAATTATTTTTCACAAAATGATTTTTATTTTTAATTACTTATCTTTTGTTTGGAAAAAGTTGTACTTTTAGTAGCGTTACTTCGAAAATGATGAGACTTTTTGCACACTGTAGTATTGATAAATAAGTATCCAGGTTTTCATTAAGTAAAAATAATAAAATGAAAATAATACAGCTGTAAGTTTTTTTTTTAGAAATTTTTGACACCAGACTTTTGGGATTTTTTGAAAAAAATAATTAAACCTAAATATCTGGAAATTGGTTCACATTTGCATAATGCATTTTATGGTTCATTTGATAGGTTATGACCCCAACTATCACGCCTTGGCGGGAATACGTCGAATTACCAGTAACCCTGTATATATATATATATATATATATATATATATATATATATATATATATATATATGAATGTAAGTATGTATGTATGTATATATACCACAGTCTACTTCATGACCTTAGGTGCTGTAAAGCGCCCGAAAGTCAGGAATTTAAAAAAATAAAACACGATACAATCTGTAAAATAAGTTCAATTGGAAGTGTAGTTTTAATTTTCGCCTAAATTTAAGAAATAATTAACGAACAATTTATTGTTATGAAAGCATCCCATGTTCTATTCCAAAATAAATTTAATATTATATGCCTTATTTCAATGGAATCCACCTAGCCATTCAAGCGTTACCGAGAGACAAATATCAAAACATACTTTAGCATTCATTAATATGGTAAGGGTAAATAAGAGTTAAAATTCATGAAAAATACAAAAGAATGCATTGCTTTAATTCAGATTTTCAGGAAAATTTAAACATTAAAAAAGAGACGACCTACCCTGCTATAGAAGTGCTCTTCTCGTCTTCTGTGTGCACAATACACAATGGTGGTATTAAATAGGCCTGTAAAAGAGGATCGTCTGTGGTTTATCGGTACGCTAAGTTGATTTCATGTCCAACTATAGAGGTTATTGCTCTGAAGACTAAAATAGAGTAATGTTCAACAAAAATATGGTGAAAAGTAACTTCTCTCTAATTCATTAAACTTTATTATAATTACTAGCTGTTACCCGCGGCTTCGCCCGCATGGTCACTGGGAAATGAACTATCCATTGCTTTTTGAATTGAAAGAAAACTGAGTTTTATAGATTTGTCAGAGATGCAGCCATTAAAAGGAAACTGAGCAAAATTGATTCGTCAGCCTATTTAACACATTAACTGCCAGAGTAATAATGACAACAATCACAGAAAAATGCCAATTGATGTTATGGGTGTAGATATACATAGTATTAAATTTTGGGGTCAATCGGAGGCAGGGTTCCGTAGAAAATTAAAAAAAACTTCACGAGGTCACCGGTACCCTACATGGCGCACAGAAGTAATTACTCATATGTTGATTTCTGTTACCAAGGCGCTGGGCGGTCATCTCTCCGGGCACCCGCACACCTCAGTCGCTTAAACGCGCTACGGATTGTTTCACGGAACGGATGTTACGTTATGTCATTTTGCGATTACCATGATGTCCGAGTTAGATATAAACTCTGAGTACTTATTTTTTACCCAGAATATGAAATTGATTCACTGGAAAATTCATTGTTGAATAAAGTAGACACGTTATGTGACAATGTATACGATTTAAAGGAAGATTTGTGTACGGAGAGTGGGGATGAGAATATCCCTCCCCCAAAAAATCGAAGGCGTCTTTATATAAGAAGCGATTCGGAAAGTGAATGTGATTCGGTGGAAAATTTTGTCGCTCAAAATGTGGCTCTTATGTCGTCAAGTAGGCCACAAAAATGGAGAGAACCAAGAGGACTCCAACCATCAGTGATTGTATTTACGAAGCCAACAGGTATTTATAATGATATTAATATAATAATATATCATTTATATGCTATAAGTTTGTGTTTTATTTGGGTTACAGTTAACCGACTTAAAAAAGAAGGAGGTTCTCAATTCATCTGTATGTTTTCTATGGTTAATGCTCAAGAGTCAAGAATATTTTTACTCTTTTTAAATAATCTACTGCCTGTTTATGTCCTTTTATAACCAAAGTACGGATTTGTTCTAGGTATCAAGAAACCGTATGATATTGAACTACGAAATGCAGACCCAGGAGCCTATTTTTAATTATTAGTCTCAGACGAAATTTTTGAGGAAATAGCTGTGCAACCAACTTGTATGCTGAGCGACGCGAAAGCTCAAAGCCGTCATCGCGTTTGAATAGTTGAAAGCCAACAAACAAAAATGAAGTCAAGGCTCTTTTTGGACTTATTATGTACATGGGACTAATCAAACTCCCAAAAATAAGTTTATATTGGAGCACAGACAGAGTTTTCAAACAAACTTTTACACCTTCGATCATGAGTCGTAATAGAATCGAACTGTTGCAGAATCTGCATTTCGTTGACAAAGAAACTGCAGATACCACCGATAGAATCTATAAAATACTCAGTCTGATTGATACGTTAAATAACTCATTTCGACGGTACTATTCGCCTAAAGAAGAAGTTTGTGTCAACGAAAGTCAAGTGCCTTACCGCGGGCGATTGATCTTTAGGCAATATAATAAGAGCAAACGGCACAAATATGGTATGAAGCTGTTCAAACTGTGCACAATACCAGGTTATACTTGTAAATTAGAACTTTACGCTGGTAAAAACCACGAACAGCTGAATACAACGCCTAAAAACGTTGTAATGTCACTGTGTAAAGAAATACTTGATTTGGGGCACACCGTAGCTACGGATAATTGGTATACGAGTTTGGATTTAGCCAATAAACTTCTAGATAGGTATACTCATTTAGTAGGCACACTGAGAAAAAATAGAAAGAGCCTGCCCAAACAAGTTATTGATGCAAAACTCAAACCAGGCGAATCTGTAGCAATGGAAAACGAACCCGGTATAACAGTGTTGCACTGGAAGGATAAACGAAGTGTATTCATGCTCTCCACTAAACACTCTAAAGGATTTCCTAGTGTACATAAAAAGGAAATGTGATTCGAAAACCGAAGATGGTTATAGCATATAATAAAGCAAAAGGATCTGTAGACATGAGCGATCAGATGAACGCGCATTCATCACCATTAAGAAAAACAATAAAATGGTATAAGAAATTAGGCATCGAATTAATTTTAAATACGGCTGTAGTAAATGCCTGGATCATGTTTTGCGAAAATACAACTCAACAAGGAATTGTAGAATTCCGACGTCAATTAGTGGAATATCTAGTAGACTCTGGTAAGAATGAAACCGAAAATGAATTTATTTCTAAGAGATCTAAAATACTGAAAGAATACATTAAAAGCAAAGGAAGGCAAAGTAAGGCAATCCAGGCGCTTCTGTGTAGAATGCTACAAAACCAGTGTCACGACGTTTGGATCAAGACTTGCTAAAAACAAGGCAAAAAAGTGGCAACCTATTGTCATGAATGTCCTGGACTATTGAACCCACTACTGTCTTCAATGTTTTAATAAGTGCCATCGGTATTTGTAATTGTAAGAATGTTAACGTTATTTTCAGATATATTGTTTCCATTCTTTTTTGTTCTTTTTTTTACAGATTAGTGGGCAATTTTATATTAAAAGGTAGAAGATTTTAATTTTATTACTCGTTTTATTATTCTTCCCATACCATTTATAAATACGTTTGGATTTAAAAAAAATGTTATGTTCTGGGATTTTTAACGTTTATCGTTTATCTTTAATAATTCAAAATATTTTTACGTTACATAGAAACCATGCGAAAGTATTACTCCTGAGCGCCATTCCGGTCACTTACTAATAGGATATCTATAGAAAACGCGTGCTACGGCGCGTAAATAAACTCTGAAAACAGGTTTACCGTGAGGTCACCGGTGTCCTACGTGGCACCTTAATACAAGACCGCCTCCGGTCAACAGTGCCTTACATGGCAGTCAATGTGTTAAATGTTGTCTGTTCTTCGTCACCCATAAAATATACTTGTAAAAATTTATGCTGTTCGTTTTCAGTTGGAAAAAGTGAACCTATTCTATGATAAATTTGCCCTTGCACCGTAAATGTAGGCGAAAATCCCGGCATTATTATTTCCCGGTCAACTCCGAAGGACGTCATTTGAAAGCATGAGTTATATACTTCCGGATCCTGTTTAAAAAGCGCCGTGACTCATTAGCATCATATAAAAAGAGAGTTTTCAAAGGTTCTTCTGGTTCCCCAAGTAACGGAAGAGACACTTTGCCATTAGAACAGCACATGCCTGCGGTCTCATCTTTCCATTTTAAAGCGCTACAAAATCGACACGCCTTGTCCATCAGTCCGATAACAACTAATCTGTGATATTTTTATAATAAATCAACGAATCATAATTGAATGCTGCGTCATTAAAAACCGACCAATTGTTTCTTTGAAAATTTTGTAGACGTTCAGCTTGGAGCTGTGCATTTGTATCTCTTCGCGCCTGTATCTGTTCTGGTGATTCAGACGCCCTTATAGTAGATTGACGTTCAGCTTGCTTAATGAGTCTGTGTTGAGTTTCATCAGGTGTTTCCGCGGCTCTTAAGGCGGCCTGACGTTCCGCTTGTTCGAATAGCCTTTGCTGACTTTGATCAGGTGTTTCAGTAGCTTTTTTTTTTTCTTAAAGTAGCTTAACGCTCTGCCTGTTCAAAACGCCTTTGCTGACTTTGAGCAGGTGTTTCAGTAAGCTCTTAAAGTAGCTTGACGCTCTGCCTGTTCAAGACGCCTTTCCTGACTTTGAGAAGATTTTTCGGAAGCTCTTAAAGCAGCCTGACGCTCTGTCTGTTCAAGACGCCTTTGCTGACGTTGAGAAGGTGTCTCAGATGCTCTAAAAGCAGCGTGACACTCTGCTTGTTCTTGCTTTCTCAGTTCAGCATCTTCTAAAGATTCTAGCGATCGAGCTAATCTTTTCGCTTGTCTTTGAGAAGATACTCTTGAAAGGCTGGACTTACGTTTGCAAGGCATTATGAAGTAACAAAAAACCTATTTATAAAAAAACGTTAAAATACCTAAAAGGAATTAAATTTCCTTTTAAATATATTTTTTAAAAGCAAATCCAAAATATTTAAAAGAAATAAATATTCCTTTTAAATATTTTTTAAAATCAAAACAACAAAAACAATTTAAAACACAACACGAATCCGAAAACAATAGCCAAAAAAAATCGAATCAACTCGAACCAAATTACAAAACAAATCGCAGAAAACCGAAATCGAAAGCAGTAGTCAATATAAATATAACCAACGAAAAAAAAGTAAGTGTATAGTATCGTATACACTATCTACTATACTATTAATATTCCTTTGAAATATTGTTAAACAACCTAAAACAACGAAAACCAATTTACGATTCTAAATAAATAAAATCCAAAATCAAAGCCAGAGTCTAAATATGTATAAAGGAATACCAACCAAATCAACAAAACCAATCCAAGAAAAAAATACACAAATCCAAGAATGAAAGCCAAAATAAATCCATTCAACCTTAACCAAATCACAAAGAAAATAACAAACAACCAAAATCGAAAGCAGGTAGTCGAATAAGCTACGAAATAGAAACAATTTAAGCGTATAGGTACCGTATGCACTATAAGTTGACGCGCGGCTCAACGGCGGGAGTTAAGTAAATGTCAGGAAACATTTCGTTACCGCGTTTTAAAAACCTAGTAACGACATCTAGCGGAATCAATATAAACTATGTATACGTTAGTTAATAAGAACTCTCGAAAAATATTTTTCTTATAATTTTGCACAATTTTCTCATTGTAATACCGATTCATTCATAACCACATATAAGAACTGTATTCATTTCCGTTCAATAAAAATTACTAAGGCTTATTAATAAGGCATACTAAGAACTGTTTCTACCACTGTTAAGTAATAGTTAAGGGTGAAAGCGTGATAGGTGATGATAGTATTTCTGATCCATACTTATAATCACGCCTGTAACCCTTGCGGGGTAGGCAGAGCATCAACGGATTACTTAATATCGTCTGTGAAGTTATCACCTATTCTGTGAATTACAATGCACCAAAAATGTTCGAAGAAAATCAGATGGTGAATTTTATATTTTTTTATCGCTCTCTTCCCGGTCCTGCGTGGAAAAATACAGATCCATAAATTTTTTATCTTAATTTTGGTAAAAAGACATACTCGTATTAATCCAGATGTTCTTACCTTTTGTGTTCGTCCATCGTACCGTCGTACGTCTTGTAGAATCACGGTGGCGCCACCTAGCTGAATTTAATTTTGCAACATATTCGATTTTCCTACGGGAATGATATATTTTTCCGCTGAAAAAAGTAGCCTATGTCACTACAGCCACCGAACTATCCCCATACAAAAAATCATGCCATGCCGACGCTCTGTTGCGACGTGAAAGAAGGACAAACTTGTGCAACATATTCGATTTTCCCACGGGAATGAGATGTTTTTCCGCGGAAAAAAGTAGCCTATGTCACTCTACAGCCACCGAAATATCCCCATACCAAAATTCATGCCATGCCGACGCTCTGTTGCGACGTGAAAGAAGGACAAACGAACAAACAAACAAACACACTTTCGCATTTATAATATTAATTAGTATGGATTTTATACAGTTTTATTTAATACGAGAATTTAAAATGTCTAGTAGAGAAACGAGGAGCGAATGCGAAATGGGTTCGTTATTTTTCGAAGGATGGGTATTTAAAAGTTATAAGCTTGAATATTAAAAAATAAGCTTTTTAATCATAATTGATTAAAAAGCTTATTTGATCGCTTATGAAATGATCATAAGCGATCAAAATAGTTAAAAAATATGGGCATATTTATAAATATGTTTTACTTTTAGTATTTAAGTATAGTTACATATTTATTTTACGGCTACGCGGTGCAGTGGCTTGGCATAGGGTTATGGCAAAGAGGAATTCGGGTTCGAATACCGCACAAAATGAGTATGTTGTGGACTAGAAATAGATGTTCCGGGATGGATTTTTATTCTTGGTCTATTTATGTATGTAAACTGCCTCCACAGTAAAGGAGGTGGATGACGTTTTTTTTTTCTTAAAAAAAGGAATTTTGTGTTTTATATGTGTGCAGACAATGCAATGTCCATTCGTAGAGTTTCTTTATTTAGTGTCATTAGATCCTTTTTAATAATAATTAAGTTCCATTCATACCATCACTCCATTTCATTCATCCATCTACGTGCAGAAATAAAGCTTAGCTTGCGTAATAAAAACAGAATTCCTTTTTATTATTTACTACATTATATTTTATTTAGCGTTTTAAAATATAAATTTCCTAATGTATGTGCATATATTATTACGTTTTACCTAAGGGGGCCATATATCAATATTACACGAACACACTATTAAACTTACATCATTAATGAAGAGAAACTTAGGTTGTTTCTACTCTGTATTGTTGACGCAGCGTAGCTTAGAAATATAAATTGTTTGTTGATTAACGTCTGTTCAGTGATATTGACAGAATTATTTTTTTACCGTACGTAAAACTGATTTCGGGAAAGTATTTAACTATAATAGTACAGTAATGTCATACAATTTAAATGGGTAGTGACACTATATATATTTAATAGGCGACAGAGGGAAAAAGAAACAGGAGATGGGCAATAACATCTTCTTAATAGCATATCAAAATTATAAAAAATCGGCGAGTGCTGATCCGCCTGTCAAGCGGAATGAAAATGAAAATGAAAAAAAAAAAACTATGGCAAAACCCCCTATATGAAACAATTCATGAGAGACACCTACTTGATGGATTATGGAAGGTTATATAGTTATATTTCTTAACGCTTTATTGCGTTTCAATTATAAATTAATGATACAAATGCCAGAGTAACTACCTGAATTATTCACACCCATTTTAATAACAGAATAGTTAAAATGACGATAACATATGGCTAATAGTTCTTAACCTGTAAGCTCTGACAGCGCGCGACATGTTATACTTCCGTTCGCTCGGGACCGTAATGGCGGGAAAATTTGCAAATTAGCAATTTTTT